CGGGTGGTGGGCAGTATCGTGGCAGTATTCGGCAGTGGTTGGGGTACTGTTCATGCCGCTCACTATAAACTGAAATGTCCTTTTGAGGGAGGGCTTTTGGTGGTTCTTTAGCATTGTGGGTTAAAGCTGTTTGCGGAGGCAGGAGGCTGTCTGTGTAAGTGGACATCTCCGCCACATACACATTTTCACTTTTATTATGTGTATAGGGCTGGGCGGTTTCGTTTCGTTAATTCGTAATTCGTTAATAATTCGTTATTTTTTCAATTACAAAACGATAACGAACCATTCTGGAGCAATTAAAAAAAACAAACGAATTTTTAAACACGTTTTGTAAATGCTTCGTATTTCGTTATTGTATTCGTTTCGTTATTGTTCTGAGGTCGTTTCGTTATTATTTCCGCATGTCTGGGGCAAGTTTTTTGTTTAATTAGTGAAAAAAAATTATAATATCACACCAACAGTCAACAACAGAGGGAGAGGGAAGCTTCAGAAGTTTTGGAGGTTTTTTAGCGTATTTCGCGGTCGCGTCCGCCATTAACGAATCGATTCGTTATTGTTTCGGAAATCGATTCGTTAATTTTTTACCATTTACGAAATTTCGTAAATATCGAACTTTTTAAAAGGAAAATTTTGTAATTATTTTAAATATCGAAACAAAAAAAACCCCCAAATACAAATCGATTTTAGAAACAAATTTTTCCGTTGTTACCCAGGCCTAGTAAGAATACACTTGATGGATGGATGGATGGATGGATGGATGGATAGATGGATAGATGGATAGATGGATAGATGGATAGATGGATAGATATTCTTAGAGTCATACTGTTATGGTGTCATAGTATAAAAGGTCAATTTTCTTAGTGTATTGATGCACATCTATATAAATAAAAATGTAATGTTCGTATGTGGGATTAACAGAACTTAAAAACCACTGGGGGAATTGACACCCAATTTGGACACAATGCACCTATCAGGCCAGTGTATGTCCTTCACTCATAAAAACACTGAAAAACACAGCAGAAGGGACTTTAAAAGCCCCCCAAAAGCTAAATGATGAAAAGCTAAATGACAATACTGAAAAAAGGGAAGAAAGGGAGGGAAGAGGAAGAAAGCAAGCAAGAAAGAAAGAGGGAGGGAAAGAAAGAAGGAAAGGGAGAAGGAAGCAAAGAGAGAAGGAAGCAAAGAGGTAGAGAAGGAAGAAAGGAGAGAAAGAGGAAGTGAAAGAAAAATGGGGAAGGAAGGAAAGTTAGGGAAGGAAGGAAGGAGAGAAGGAAAGAAAAAATGGAAAGAAGAGAGGGAGCGAAGGAAGGGGGAAGATGTAGAGAAAGAGGGAGGGAAGGAAAGAAGGAAAGAGAGAAGGAAGAAAAGAGACAGCAGAAGAGAATGAAAATGGGAAAGAAGAAAAGAGATAGAGAAGGAAGGAAGAAGAGAAGGAAAGACAGGAAGGAAGGAAGGAAAGAGGGAGTGGAGGAAGGAGGGAAAGAAGGAGAGAAAGAGGGAAGGTTGGCCACAGCAAAGCGTGGCGGGTACAGCTAGTCTATGTAAATAAAAATGTAATGTTCGTTTGTGGGTTTAACAGAACTCAAAAACCACTGGACGAATTGGCACCAAATTTGGACACAATACACCTAACAACCCAATGTATGTCCTTCACTCAAAAAATTGATTTTGTCATTTGGGAGTTGTAGTTGCTGGGATTTATAGTTCACCTACAATCAAAGAGCATTCTGAACCCCACCAACGATGGAATTGAACCAAACTTGGCACACAGAACTCCCATGACCAACAGAAAATACTGGAAGGGTTTGGTGGGCATTGACCTTGAGTTTTGGAGTTGTAGTTCACCTACACCCAGAGAGCACTGTGGACTCAAACAATGATGGATCTGGACCAAACTTCACACGAATACTCAATATGACCAAATGTGAACACAGGTGGAGTTTGGGGAAAATAGAATCTTGACATTTGGGAGTTGTAGTTGCTGGATTTATAGTTCACCTACAATCACAGAGCATTCTCAACCCCACCAACGATAGAATTGGGCCAAACCTCCCACACAGAACCCCCATGTGGGCCACAGCAATTAGACAATCAGCTATCTATATAAATAAAAATGTAATGTTCGTTTGTGGGATTAACATAACTCAAAAACCACTGTACGAATTGACACCAAATTTGGACACAAGATTATTATATTATTATTATTATTAACTTTATTTGTACCCCGCTAGCATCTCCCGAAGGACTCGATGCGGCTTCCACAGGCCGAAGCCACAAAACACAATACAATAGAAAACATAACACAACAATAGCAGAGCAAATCAAAACAATAGCAAATAACGACAATGACAATACATCAAGACATTATTAAAACTGGTTCGGCCGGCGCACTGGGTACAAGGGATTAAAAGTGCTGAAATGGCAGGAGGCACGAAGGATTTCAAGTGCGGTGTGCAGTAACGATTTGTTATGCTAAGGTGCTATTTGGACTTGGGGTGGGGATTCCTAATCTGAGAAAGCACAACGGAACAGCCAAGTTTTTAAATTCCTTCTGAAAACGGCTAGAGTAGGGGCCTGTCTGAGATCTTTTGGGAGGGCGTTCCAAAGTCGGGGGCCGCCACAGAAAAGGCCCTGTCCCGTGTCCCCACCAAGCGCACTTGCGACATAGGTGGGATCACGAGCAGGGCCTCTCCAGATGACCGGAGCGAGCGTGTGGGTTCGTAGATAGTGATGCGGTCACGCAGGCCAACGAGTGACCATCACTCATAAAAACACTGAAAAACACAGCAGAAGGGACTTATAAACCCAATAAAGCAAAAAGATGCTACAGCACATGCGCAAAACCACAAATATACACATATACAAATACGTACACACAAAAACACATATATACAGACTGGGCCACAGCAATGTGTGGCAGGGAATGGCTAGTAAGTAAAAAAACAAGGCACGGGAAGAGAAAAGAGCATGGAAGATAAATCAATGAAGGGCTGTGGAAGATCAACTGGCATGCAAACATTGTTTCCTTTGACTGGAGCTACACTGTCATATAATGCAGTTTCAGAACTGAACTGGATTTTATAGCAGTGAGACTCATACAATCTTTCTCACACTCTTTATTGGATTTTTTTTTCGTGTCAGGAGCGACTTGAGAAACTGCAGGAGATGCTGAGATGTTTTGATGTTTTACCATATATGATGTAATGCAATATAATAAGAATAACAATATGATATTATAATTATATATTTATATTACATGTAATATTACTAATAGTATTACAATATAGTGGTATGGTGCAATATAGCAATGTTTAATGCTAATATTGTACTATGCTAATAATATAATATATTGTATGTAATATATATGCTAATCTGAATCCCCTTCAGGGTGAAAAGGGCGGCATATAAATTTCATAAATAAATAAATTTATTTTATTTATCGTGTCAGGAGCAGACCGAACAGTTGCGTTGCATTTTTTAACAAACAAACAAACAGACAAAATACAGAGTTTGCAAGCTTGGTAGTTGATTAAATGTCCTTTGACCAGTATCTGGCCACTTGGAGTGCCTCTGGTGTTGCCGCAAGGAGGTCCTCCATTGTGCATGTGGCAGGGCTCAAGTTGCATTGCAGCAGGTGGTCTGTAATTTGAATACCATCCTTGTATTTTCGAAGGCTTTCATGGCCGGAATCACTGGGTTGTTGTAGGTTTTTCCGGGCTATATGGCCATGTTCTAGAGGCATTTTCTCCTGACATTTCGCCTGCATCTATGGCAAGCATCCTCAGAGGTAGTGAGGTCTGTTGGAACTAGGAAAAAGGGTTTGTATATCTGTGGAATGACCAGGGTGGGACAAAGGACTCTTGTCTGCTGGAGCTAGGTGTGAATGTTTCAACTGACCACCTTCATTAGCATTTGAAGGCCTGGCTGAGCCTGGGGGAATCTTTTGTTGAGAGGTGTTAAGATGTGCCTGGTTGTTTCCTCTCTGCTGTTTTGCTGTTGTAATTTTAGAGTTGTTTTTAATACTGGTAGCCAGATTTTGTTCATTTTCATGGTTTCCTCCTTTCTGTTGAAATTGTCCACATGCTTGTGGATTTCAATGGCTTCTCTGTGTAGTCTGACATGGTGGTTCAACCAGAGAAGTCAGCCATAGCAGAGCACCTGATGAACCAGCCTGGACACAGCATATTATTTGAGAACACAGAAATGCTGGACCACACCAACACCCACCATGTCAGACTACACAGAGAAGCCATTGAAATCCACAAGCATGTGGACAATTTCAACAGAAAGGAAGAGACCATGAAAATGAACAAAATCTGGCTACCAGTATTAAAAAACTCTAAAATTACAACAGCAAAACAGAGAGAAACAACCAGGCACATCTTAACACCTCTCAACAAAAGATTTTCCCAGGCTCAGCCAGGCCTTCAAATGCTAATGAAGGTGGTCAGTTGAAACATTCACACCTAGCTCCAGCAGAGAAGAGCTCTTTGCCCCACCCCAGCCATTCCACAGATATATAAACCCATTGTCCTAATTCCAACAGACCTCACTACCTCTGAGGATGCTTGCCATAGATGCAGGCGAAACGTCAGGAGAAAATGCCTCTAGAACATGGCCTACAACAACCCAACAACCTACAACAACCCAATACCATCCTTGTTGGAGGCTTCTCTCATGTCCATGCATGGGGAGCCGGAGCTGACAGAGGGAGCTCATCCACACTCTCTCTGGATTTGAACCTCCGGCCTGTCAGTCTTCAGTCCTGCGGGCGCAAGGGTTGAACGCACTACGCCACCGGAGGCTCCTCTTCAGTGGATGATTGTGTGTGTATAGTTGTGTTCTTATCTGAATGTTTGTAACTAAAGCCAACCTGCATCCAAACCTTGGAAGACAGGTATAGTGTAAATCAAGCAAATCAGCGAAGGTGCTTCTCAGAGAGTGATTATGATATGCAAATTAATCATTTCATGTAAACACCGCTATCTGATCTCTTGCAGGTGTCATGTGTGGAAGTCATTGCAACGTACATTGCGAGGATTAAGCAGGTCAACCCATTGATCAATGCCGTTGTCAGAGACAGGTGAGTCTTATCAAACCCAAATGTGGATAGCGGTATTAGTCGTACACAGTGAAATGTCTGACAGGTTGTTGTGGTTGAGGGTTAGGGAAGAAAAAGGTAGGCAGGCCTGCTGCTCTACTTTCCTTTCAATCCTATCCCAAGGCTTGAGGCTACTTTCCCAGCCATTCGTATTTCTAATCAGTTCTTCTGTGTGATTATGACTTGCTGCACATCACAATCAATATAACTAATTTGTAACTTGCCTCATTCTAAACCAAGGGCGCTCTGCTCAGTCTCCAAGTACTTTTTGGAATTGCTTGCCTTTTTGCTGACCTTGTGCATGCCATCTCGTATTGCGCCTTGCCTTCAGCAGTGACCTTTCAGATGTCCCTGGGAAAATTCGCAAACAATCTCCCATTGTTTCTCCCAAATAGCTAATGACCACAACTGGACTGCTCCTGTTTAAGGAAGCTCCACTGATTTCCCCCTCAGGCCTGCTCCATTTAATTGTGCGGTAGTTACTTGGAAAGTAGTTGTTATACTCCAGAAATGTTGTTTCTGTGGCCACAAACTATGTCAAATTGGTTGAAACTCTGTGAGGTCATAGAATCAAAGAGTTGGAAGAGACCTCATGGCCATCCAGTCCAACCCCCTGCCAAGAAGCAGGAATATTGCATTCAAAGCACCCCTGACAGATGGCCATCCAGCCTCTGTTTAAAAGCTTCCAAAGAAGGAGCCTCCACCACACTCCAGGGCAGAGAGTTCCACTGCTGAACGGCTCTTACAGTCAGGAAGTTCTTCCTCATGTTCAGATGGAATCTCCTCTCTTGTAGTTTGAAGCCATTGTTCCGCGTCCTAGTCTCCAGGAAGCAGAAAACAAGCTTGCTCCCTCCTCCCTGTGGCTTCCTCTCACATATTTATACATGGCTATCATATCTCCTCTCAGCCTTCTCTTCTTCAGGCTAAACATGCCCAACTCCTTAAGCCGCTCCTCATAGGGCTTGTTCTCCAGACCCTTTGAAAAACTATATACCCAACTTGCTCAATTCTACCCAACCTTCAAGTGCTTGAAATCTAATGTGTGCTTGCTAGAGCCGTATTTACAATGCTGTTGGCTTCCTGAAGACTTCTTCTGAAGCCATTGGCCACATCCACTTCGCTCCCAGTTGAGAATTTGAACAATGTTGAATCAACAACAATGAATCCAGACAAGATAGAGGTCCTACTGGTCAGTCAAACGGCTAAACAGGGCATAGGGTTACAGCCTGTGTTGGATGGGGTTACACTCCCCCTGAAGACTCAGGTTCGCAGCTTGGGGGTGATCCTGGATTCATTGCTGAGCCTGGAACTCCAGGTCTCGGCAGTGGCCAGAGGAGCCTTTGCACAATTAAAACTCATGCGCCAGCTGCACGTACCTTGGGAAGTCTGACTTTGCCACAGGAGTTCACCGTCTGGTTATAGCCAGTATAGACTACTGCAATGCACTCTATGTGGGGTTGCGTTTGAAGACTGTTCAGAAACTCCAACTAGTCCAATGGTTGGCAGCCAGATTATACGGCTCTGGCCCAGCTTACTTAGCCGAACGTATCTCTCTCTACTCCACCTCATAGTTTAAGATCTATTGGGGAGGCCCTGCTCTCGGTCCCACCAGCGTCTCAAACGCGTCTGGTGGGGACAAGGGACAGGGCCTTCTCAGTGGTGACCCCCCGCTTGTGGAATTCGCTCCCCAGCAAGAGTAGATCGGCGTCCTCCCTCCTTACTTTTAGGAAAAAACTAAAGACGTGGTTTTGGAGCCAGGCCTTTGGCTACTGGGCACAGCAGCACTTTAGGCACTGAACTCGGACAATAGGATTGTTATGAAAATTGGAAACAGCTATATGACTAGTAATTATATCATTTTAATTAATATCACTGTTTAATTGTTATGTAATAGGATTTTATATTATTGGTTTATATTGTTGTTATTGATACTGTTGGCATTGAATTGTTGCCTGTGTTAGCCGTCCTGAAGGGCGGGGTAGGAATGGTGTAAATAAATAAATAAATGAATAATACTCACTGGAGTGACTTACAGGGAGCACACCACCCCTCTGCTTCGTCAGCTCCACTGGCTGCCGGTCCACTTCTGAGCACAATTCAAAGTGCTAGTCTTGACCTATAAAGGCCCAAATGGTTCTGGTCCAGTTTACTTGTCCAGACGTATCTCCCTCTATGACCCACCTCAGAGTTTACGATCGTTGGGGGAGGCCCTGCTTTCGATCCCGCCACCCTTGCAAGCGCAAGTGGTGGAGACGAGAGACAGGGCCTTCTCGGTGGTGACCCCCTATCTGTGGAATACACTCCCCAGTGAAATCAAAGCGATGCCATCTCTCCTATCCTTCAGGAAAAAACCTCAAGTCTCTGGGACCAAGCATTTGGGCAGCTGGCTGAGCAACAGTTCATGAGAATTATCAATGAAAAGACCTTGGATTGGAACTCTGGCTCAGACTTAGTTGTGTTAATATTATTTTTAATGTATTTTAATGAATTTAAGGTATTTTTTACTATTGTTGATGTGTTTATGTTAATTGCTGTGGTGTAATAGTTCTTTGTCGGCATCTAATGATTGCCAATTGTCACTGGAGTATATGCCCCCCCACCCCCTTCGTGGGAAAGCTTGAGTCCACAACCCCCGCTATAATGAGTCCTCCGCAAATAATCTATCTCTCTTTTATCTCGCCTGAGTTTTTACTTAGTTTTAATTAGTTCTCTTTTAATCATTACATGTATCCCACCCATTGTCGTTGTGATTGTGCCTATTGTAATTTTATATTGCTATGCATTCACATGTTTTATGTAATTATGTTGTTGTTGTTTATTGTTTGTTTTTTCGGTTTGTGTTTTCGGTTTTACTCTACTGTAATTTGTTGTTTGGGTTTGGCCTCATGTAAGCCCGCTGCTCCGAACATAGAATCATAGAATCAAAGAGTTGGAAGAGACCTCATGGGCCATCCAGTCCAACCCAATTCTGCCAAGAAGCAGGAATATTGCATTCAAATCACCCCTGACAGATGGCCATCCAGCCTCTGTTTAAAAGCTTCCAAAGAAGGAGCCTCCACCACACTCCGGGGCAGAGAGTTCCACTGCTGAACGCTCTCACAGTCAGGAAGTTCTTCCTCATGTTCAGATGGAATCTCCTTTCTTGTAGTTTGAAGCCGTTGTTCGCGTCCTAGTCTCCAGGGAAGCAGAAAACAAGCTTGCTCCCTCCTCCCTGTGGCTTCCTCTCACATATTTATACATGGCTATCATATCTCCTCTCAGCCTTCTCTTCTTCAGGCTAAACATGCCCAGCTCCTTAAGCTGCTCCTCATAGGGCTTGTTCTCCAGACCCTTTGATCATTTTAGTCGCCCTCCTCTGGACACATTCCAGCTTGTCAATATCTCTCTTGAATTGTGATGCCCAGAATTGGACACAATATTCCAGGTGTGGTCTAACCAAAGCAGAATAGAGGGGAGCATGACTTCCCTAGATCTAGACACTATGCTCCTATTAATGCAGGCCAAAATCCCATTGGCTTTTTTTGCCGCCACATCACATTGTTGGCTCATGTTTAACTTGTTGTCCACGAGGACTCCAAGATCTTTTTCACACGTACTGCTCTCGAGCCAGGCGTCCCCCATTCTGTATCTTTGCATTTTGTTTTTTCTGCCTAAGTGGAGTATCTTGCATTTGTCACTGTTGAACTTCATTTTGTTAGCTTTGGCCCATCTCTCCAATCTGTCAAGATCGTTTTGAATCCTGCTCCTGCCCTCTGGAGTATTGGCTATCCCTCCCAATTTGGTGTCGTCTGCAAACTTGATGATCCTGCCTTCTAACCCTTCATCTAAGTCATTAATAAAGATGTTGAACAGGACCGGGCCCAGGACGGAACCCTGCGGCACTCCACTTGTCACTTCTTTCCAAGATGAAGAGGAAGCATTCGTGAGCACTCTCTGTGTTCGTCCACTTAACCAATTACAGATCCACCTCACCGTAGTTTTGCCTAGCCCACATTGGACTAGTTTCCTTGCCAGAAGGTCATGGGGGACCTTGTCGAAGGCCTTACTGAAATCCAGGTACGCTACATCCACGGCATTCCCCGCATCTACCCATCTTGTAACTCTATCGAAAAAAGAGATCAGATTAGTCTGGCATGACTTGTTTTTGATAAATCCATGTTGACTATTAGCATGACCGCATTTGTTTCTAAGTGTTTGCAGACCACTTCCTTAACAATCTTTTCCAGAATCTTGCCTGGTATCGACGTGAGGCTGACCGGACGGTAGTTGTTTGGGTCATCCTTTTTTCCCTTCTTGAAGATTGGGACCACATTGGCCCTCCTCCAATCTTCTGGAACTTCTCCCGTTCTCCAAGAACTCTCAAAGATGGTTGCCAATGGTTCCGAAATGACTTCCGCTAGTTCCTTCAGTACTCTTGGGTGTAGTTGATCTGGCCCTGGGGACTTAACTCATTTAGAGCGGCCAGGTATTCCTGTACGACTTGTTTCCCAATTTGCAGTTGGATGTCCTCAAATCCCTCATCCACTCCCCATTGGGGAGATGGTGGCGGGGTATAAATAAAGATTATTATTATTATTATTATTATTATTATTATTATTATTATTATTAAGTGGCCTTGAGTCCCCCTTTGGGGGGTTGAGAAGGATGGGATATAAATGTTTTAAATAAATACATAAATAAATAATAAACATTATCAATCTGATGAAAAAGGATGAGGAGAAACTTTTATTTTGCTTTTTTTGCACACATTAGATCTCGGGCACTTGAAGGTTGAGTAGAATTCAGCAAGTACATTTGCTGCTGGGCCAGATCTTTGCTACTCTGCAAAATGGATCATCTACTCTTTCTACCTATTGTTGTTTTCCTCTTTGAAGCCTTTCTCTTGCTTCAGTATATAATGGGATTGTTCCATCTCCCAGGAGCCTGGTTTGTCCTACCTTTCAGCTGCTTAAGGCTGCTTTCTTTTGCATTTTGTCCCAGGGCTGCTGCAGTTTGGAAGAGCCCCAAAGGTGAATAGTAGCAAATCTGCAAGCCAGTCTGTAGACCTCCTTTGCAGTTATTGGCCCAGAGAGTAACTTTTGAGCCCGCCCCTTTTACCAGGCCAGACCTCCATTTTGGAGTCCTCCCAGCCTTCAGTTTGGAAAGAAAGTCTTGATGTACTGGAAGCTATCAAGGAAACCCTAGAGAAAACCATCACAAGTACTAAACTAAACTGAATAAATTGGGCTGTAGATTAAAGGTTAAATAATTTAGGATAGAAAGGTAAATTAGGCTATAGATAGAAAGAACTATATATAAACTAAATATAAGTAAATTGGGCTTATAGATAGATAGATAGATAGATAGATAGATAGATAGATAGATAGTAGGCTTGGGCGATCCAGTTCGTTAATTTCGTTATTCGTTATTGATTCGTATTTAAATTAGCTTACGATCCAATATCGAGCCATGCAGGAATAGTGTGAGGAGTAATTAAGAATCGAAACAATTTTTTCCAATTTTCATAATTATTTTGTAATTATTTCGTAATTATTTTCGTATGTCTGGTGCATTGTATTGTATATTATATTATATTATATTATATTATATTATATTATATTATATATTACTATATTATTATTATATTATAATTGTATATTATAATATAATATAATATATATTATAATATAATATAATAATATATAATATAATATATAATAATATAATATACAATAATATAATATAATAATATTATAATAATATAATATATATAATATAATAAATTATTATATATTATATTATATTATAATAATATATAATATAATATATAATAATATAATATAATATATAATAATATAATATAATATATTATAATAATATAATATACAATAATATAATATAATAATATTATAATATAATATACAACAATATAATATAATATTATAATAATATAATATAATATAGTTGTTGTTTGTTTTATCACACCACAGTCAACAACAGAGGGAGAGGGAAGCTTCAGAAGTTCCCCCGGTCCCATTTGGAGGTTTTTTTAGCATATTGCGCAATCGCGTCTGCCATTAACGAATCGATTCGTAATTTATGAAATTTCGGAAATTTTGAAATCTTAAATTTTGGAAGTCCTCAGAATTTCGAAATGCTAGCGCACCCTAGAAACGAAACGAGTTTAGAACCAATTTTTTTCTTGATCGCCCAAGCCTAATAGATAGATAGATAGGTAGATAGATAGACAGACAGACAGACAGACTTAGGGAGCTATAGAGCTATAGAGGTGTTTATTGAGCTATAGAAAAGCAACTGAGTTCATAGAATTTTGAGACAGAATTGAGTTACAGTTATAGATAAAATTTAAGATAGTTATTGAGCTCCATTTGCCTCATCTTTAAACTAACCCTGGGCTGGAATAGTGAAGGCCATCTATAGATAGTGGTTCGGGGTTAGGGTAAAAATCTCAGGATTTTCTACCATTTGAAGAAAGGCAACTCAGTGACTGGAAAAGAAAGAAAAAAATAGCTATATGGTTTCATCGATTGATTGTCTGTAACTTCGTTAAGCTGTGCCAAGTCTCCAAGGACTTTGTTAATAAATATTCTGTTTGTTCTTCAATACTCAAAGTGGACTCGGTTACTTAGAAAGTTTAAGCCCTTTAAAGAAAGATCCCAGTGGTCCGCTCAAACAAAAGGCAGCACATCATAGTTCCATCTTTAAGGCGTTTGGGTGTGACGGCACGGGGATGGAAGTCTAAAATGTAAACAGAATGCTCGGAATACTGAATATGACAGCAAAGTAAACACCTTTGGGAGACTGGTTAGGGTTCATAGAATCATAGAGTTGGAAGAGACCTCATGGGTCATCCAGTCCAACTATCTATAGAGCACAGATATCTATGTAACAATGTAACAACAATGGTTTCAATAGTAAAGAACAATTCAAAACAAAAATAAAAATAATTCCACAATTATTTTAGTATTGTTTCACAAACCAAACTGGGTTCTAATTGTGACTATACTATAACTCTAAGCAAGGTCTACATAAATGTTCAAAGGAAAATAGTACACATGCCCACTAATTGTAAATACAACAACAAGAATCCCGGGTACACTATTCTTGTTTCGGGAATCCTTCTTCAGGTTGTAAGTAGTCTTTAGGCGTATATTTTCTTCATATATACCGTGGACGCAATGTCTCAGTCCTGCTCAAGTTCTAAGTTGTAGCGTATATTATCCTGTGGCTCAAATCAAGCTCTATTGGATCTTTTTTCTTGCAAGTACTGTGTCTTTAAGTGTTCTTATTGCACTTGTTCAGTCCTGCATCTTGCAGGCAGAGAAAATACACAGAGCTCTGCATGAGCCACGAATACAAGAAACACAAGGAAGTCTGGAATTGTAACAGGACCGAACAAGTGCAATAAGAACACTTAAAGACACAGTACTTGCAAGAAAAAAGATCCAATAGAGCTTGATTTGAGCCACAGGATAATATACGCTACAACTTAGAACTTGAGCAGGACTGAGACATTGCGTCCACGGTATATATGAAGAAAATATACGCCTAAAGACTACTTACAACCTGAAGAAGGATTCCCGAAACAAGAATAGTGTACCCGGGATTCTTGTTGTTGTATTTACAATTAGTGGACATATGTACTATTTTCCTTTGAACATTTATGTAGACCTTGCTTAAGAGTTATAGTATAGTCACTATTAGAACCCAGTTTGGTTTGTGAAACAATACTAAAATAATTGTGGAATTATTTTTATTTTTGTTTTGAATTGTTCTTTACTATTGAAACCATTGTTGTTACATCATCCAGTCCAACCCCATTCTGTCAAGAAGCAGGAAAATTGCATTCAAAGCACTCCCGACAGATGGCCAGCTAGAGATAGATACATTTACTTTCTGTCTTTCCATTGCTCTCAGGTTTGAGGCAGCTCTTCAAGAGGCTCATGAGGTTGACAAGCTGCTCTCTGAAGGGCACGATGACGAAGATGCGCTGGGAGAGAAGTTTCCCTTCCTGGGGGTCCCGGTCACCATCAAAGAGGCCTTTGAACTGAATGGTGGGTCATTTGGGGTATTCACCTTTACCCATCTATATAAATAAAAATGTAATGTTCGTTTGTGGGATTACCAGAACTCCAAAACCACTGGAGGAATTTACACCAAATTTGGACACAACACACCTAACAACCTGATGTATGTAAAAACACTGAAAAACACAGAAGGGACTTAAAAGCCCCAAAAAGCTAAATGACGAAAAGCTAAATGACAATACAGAAAAAAGGAAGAAAGAGAGAGGGAAGGGGAGAAAAAGAAAGAAAGAAAGAAAGAAAGAAAAGAAAGAGGGAGCGAAAGAAGGAAAGGAAGGCAAAGAGAGAAGGAAGGAAGAGGTAGAGAAGGAAGGAAGGAGAGAAGAAGGAAAGAAAGGGGGAGGGTGGAAAGAGAAGGAAAGAAAAAAGGAAGGAACGAAGGAACGAGGGAAGAAAGGAAGGAAGAAAGGAAGGAAGGAAGGAAGGAAGGAGAGAGGAGAAAAGGGAGGGAAGGTTGGCTACAGCAACGCTAACAGACCAATGAGTGTCCATCACTCATAACCCCCCCCCCAAAAAAAACAGTGGAAAGGATTTAAAAAACCCCAAAAGATAAATGATGAAAATATAAATGACATACAGAAGAAATGGAAGGAAGAGGGAGGGAGGGAGGGAGGGAGGGAGGGAGGGAGGGAGGGAGGGAGGGAGGGAAGGAAGGAAGGAAGGAAGGAAGGAAGGAAGGAAGGAAGGAAGGAAGGAAGGAAGAGAAGGAAGAGAAGGAGGAAGGAGAGAGAGAAAGAAGGAAAGATAAAAGGGTGGGAAGGAGAGAGGGATGGAAAGAAATGGGTAGAGAAAGAAGGAAGGAGAGAAGGAAAGAAAAAAAGAAAAGGAAGGAAAGAGGGAGCGAAGGAAGAAGAGAAAGAAAGAGAAAGGGAGGGAAGGAAAGACAAAAGGAAGGATGGAACTAAAAAGCAAAGGAAGGAAGGAAAGAGGCAGAGAAGGAAGAAAGAGAAAGGGAAGGAAAAGAAAAAGGGAGGAAGGAAAGAGGTAGAGAAGGAAGGAAGGAGAAGGAAAGAAGAAAAGGGAAGGAGGGAAAGGAGAGAAAGAGGGAGGGAAGATTGGCCACAGCAATGTGTGGCGGGTACAGCTAGTTCCTTAATACACAACCAGGTGGTTCTTTTGGGGAAGGATAATGCAAAGTAGTCCCTCCACTTTCGCAGGGACCTTGTGAAAAGGAGCTTCTTTGTCGGAGGCTTTGTTAACTATATAGAACCATGTTATTGTTTGGGAAACAGCTACTTCTTCTCTGACTCTTCTTCACCTGTGGAAACTTTGACCAGTTGATTCAAATGTTGTTTTCCTTCCCGTGGTAGGCTTGCCCAATACTTCTGGACTGGTTAACCGCCGCAATATAATTTCTGTCTCCGATGCCGTGGTCGTGTCCCGGCTAAAGCAAGCCGGCACCATCCCTTTGGGTGTGACCAACTGCAGCGAGTTGTGCATGTGGTACGAGTCCAGCAACCGTGTCTACGGCCGAACCAACAATCCCTATGACCTGGAGTGCATCGTGGGAGGCAGCTCAGGTGAGCAGGCGGCGTCTGTTTGGGACCAATATAGTGAAATCGGTCCTGGTTTATCCAGTCTGATGTGAGGGTTAACTGTCTGGGTGGACAGACCAGTGTAAACAGAGTTGATGTTAGCTGTTTACAACAAGTGGCTTGTAATCCAGTTGATTTCTATGACATATAATTGCATTGGAGATTTCAAGATCTACCTAGAATAATTTGCAAGTGAAATATGCATAGATGACTGAATCTGCAAGTGCCTGGCATCAAGTAAAAGTAGTGAGCGCTTGCACATTCTCTTGTAATTGGTGCCGCTCTCAGCTTACTCTCATTGCCTCTGTATGTATTAGTTTCACTCCTTGGGATGGTAGAACAGAAGTTTTCCGAAGCTCTAGGTGCTCTTACTGCCTATTACAGGGGAAACCAGCTGATCCGCAACCCATCTAAAACACAGACATGTGCCTTTCATCTCACGAACAGACAAGCATCCCGAGCTCTGAAGAGCACCTGGGAAGGAATCCCACTGGAGCATTGCAGCGCACCCAAATACCTGGGAGTCACTCTGGACCGTGCTCTTACCTACAAGAAGCACTGCCTGAACATCAAGCAAAAAGTAGGTGCTAGAAACAATATCATACGAAAGCTGACTGGCACAACCTGGGGGTCACAACCAGACACAGTGAAGACATCTGCCCTTGCGCTGTGCTACTCTGCTGCTGAGTATGCATGCCCAGTGTGGAACACATCTCACCACACTAAAACAGTGGATGTGGCTCTTAATGAGACATGATGCATTATCATGGGGTGTCTGTGCCCTACACCACTGGAGAAATTACACTGCTTAGCCGATATCGCACCACCTGACATCCGCCGGGAAGTAGCAGCCAATAGTGAAAGGACCAAGGCAGAGACATCTCCAGCTCATCCCCTGTTTGGGTATCAGCCAGCACGTCAACGACTTAAATCTAGACATAGTTTTCTAAGATCTACAGAGACACTCGCTGGAACACCTCAGCAAGCGAGAGTCCAAAAGTGGCAGGCTCAAACCCAGCACCTCAACCAATGGCTGATACCAAATGAGAAACTCCCTCCTGGGCACACAGAAGACTGGGCGACTTGGAAGGCGCTGAACAGACTGCGCTCTGGCACCACGAGATGCAGAGCCAACCTTCAGAAATGGGGCTACAAAGTGGAATCCTCGACATGCGAGTGTGGAGAAGAGCAAACCACTGACCACCTGCTGCAATGCAACCTGAGCCCTGCCACATGCACAATGGAGGACCTTCTTGCAGCAACACCAGAAGCACTCCAAGTGGCCAGATACTGGTCAAAGGACATTTAATCAACTACCAAACTCACAAATTTTGTATTCTGTATTTTGTATTTTTGTATTTTGTCTGTTTGTTTGCTTTGTTCTTTTAGAAATGTAATATAACTGACTGGTTGCTGATGACTCGATAAATAAAAACTCCTGAATAAATTCTGCAAATGGCAGGAGTGTGCATTACTTGATTGTTTTTCTCTGGCTTAACCGCCTGCCTGTTGTTTGTGTTGATTCAGGAGGAGAAGGATGCATCCTGGCCGCTGCTGGCTCCGTGATTGGAGTCGGTGCAGATATTGGGGGCAGCATCCGGATGCCCGCTTTCTTCAATGGGATCTTTGGGCATAAACCCACCACAGGTACAGAGTATTTATTTATTTATTTATTTATCTATTTACGGCATTTATATTAGGCTTGGGTAACCACGGAAAAATTAGGTTCTAAACTCGTTTTGTTTTTAGGGGGCCCTTGCGTTTCGTTTTTTTAAATAATTCCGAAATTTTCCTTTTAAAAATTTCGAAATATACGAAATTTTGTATAATTACGAATCGATTCGTTAATGGCGGACGAGATTGCGCAATATGCTAAAAAAAAAAAACCTCCAAATGGGACAGGGGGAACTTCTGAAGCTTCCCTCTCCCTCTGTTGTTGAACTGTTGGTGTGATAAAACAAAGAACAACTATAAAACTTGCACCAGACATGCGAAAATAATTACGAAATAATTACAAAATAATTACGAAATAAATTGAAAAAATTGTTTCGAATCTAATTTACTCCTCACACTATTCCTGCATGGCTCAATATTGGATCGTAAGCTAATTTAAATAGGAATTAATAACGAATTACGAAATTAACGAACGAAACCGCCCAAGCCTAATTTATATGCCACCCTTCTCACCCCAAAGGGGACTCAGAGCGGCGTACAAGTAATATGGAAATACAATCTATATAAATAAAAATGTGATGTTCATTTGTGATACCATCACAACTCAAAAACCACTGGGGGAATTGACACCAAATTTGGACACAAGACACCTAACAGTCCAATTTATGTCCTCCACTCAAAAAAACCCCCAAAGAAACAGCAGAAACCCCAAAAATCCACACAAGGGAAGAGCAGCCACTGAGAGCCAAGCGTGTGTGCACACACGGCCATACAAACAGAACTGGCACAGCGAGCGGCACCTAGTTCCCTCCCTCACCGCGGCCAGATGCGGCCCACCGAGGGCATTTATCTGGCCTCGTGCAAAGCCCCTCGCCGGTTGCGTCAGCGGCGTTTCTCTCTCTCCCCCCCGAGCGGCTTTTGGCTGGGTCACGCTGGGCCAGGCTTCTCCTTCGTTCCTTCCCCTTCCTTCCTTCCCTCCCTTCCTTTCTTCGTTCCCTCCTTCCTTTCTTCGTTTCCTCCTTCTTCCTTCCTTCCCTCCTGTGTGGGAGGGAGAAGCCTTGCCAGCTGTAATGGTCCGGATGAGGACGAACAAATTGAATCCGGACAAGACAGAGTCACACTTGGTCAGCTGAAAGGCCAAATAGCGTATAGGTTCCAGCCTGTTCTGGATGGGGTTACACTCCCCCTGAAGACACAGGTTTGCAGCTTGGGACTCATAGCTGAACCTTAGGTTTCATCAGTGGCCAGGGGAGCATTCACATAATTAAAACTTGTGTGCCAGTTGCGCCTGTACCTTGAGAAGCCAGACTTGGCCATGTTGGTCCACACTCTCTTTACGTTTTGTATAAACTGCTGCAACACACTCTATGTGGGGCTGCCTTTGAAGACTGTCCGGAAGCTTCAAGTAGTCCAACGAGCGGCAGCCAGGTTTCTCACTGGAGCAACACACAGGGAGCATACAACCCCCCTGCTGAGCCAGATCCACTGGTTGCCAGTCTGTTACCGAACACAATCAAAGTAGCCTATGAATCCCTAAACGAGTCCAGCCCAGCATACTTCTCCAAACATATCTCCTTTTCTGAGCCAGGTAGAACATTAAGAAAGGCTGAGGAGGTCCTTCTCTTGGTCCTGCTGCCCTTGCAGGTGCGACTGGCGGACCCAAGAGACAGGACCTTCTCAGTGGTGGCCCCTTGGCATTGGAAATCCCTCCCCAGTGAAATTAGATTGGCCCCTTTCCTCCTGGAAACTACTCAAAATGTGGCTGTTCTAACAAGCATTTGGGGAGTAAAATGAAGTAGTCAAGATATCCTGAGATTGGTGCAATGTTGAATGTCTTATGCTTTATATTTGTCTATATATGATGTTTTATAGTCTACTAGCCGTCCCCTGCCACGTGTCGCTGTGGCCCAGTCTGTGTATATGTGTTTTGTGTTTGTATATATGTATATGTTTGTGTATATGTGTATATATGTGTGTTTGTGTATATATGTGGTTTTGTGCATGCATTGTAATGCATTTTTTTGGCTTTTAAAGTCTTTTCTGCAGTGTTTTCAGTGTTTTTATGAGTGATGGTCACTCGTTGGCCTGATAGGTGTCTTGTGTCCAAATTTGGTGTCAATTCGTCCAGTGGTTTTTGAGCTATGTTAATCCCACAAACAAACATTACATTGTAGTTGAACTGTAAATCCCAGTAACTACAACTACCAAATGTCAAGGTTTATTTCCCCTAAACTCCATCTGTGTAAATATTTGGGCATATTGAGTACTCCTGCCAAGTTTGGTCCAGATCCATCATTGTTTGAGTCCACAGTGCTCTCTGGGTTTAGGTGAACTACAACTCCCAAAGTCAAGGTCAATGCCCTCCAAACCCTTTTAGTGTTTTCTGTTGGGCATGGGAATCCTGTGTGCCACGTTTAGTTCAATTCCATCATTGGTGGAGGTCAGAATGCTCTTTGATTTTCGGTGAACTATAAATCTCAGCAACTACAACTCCCAAATGACAAAATCAATTTTTGAGTGATGGTCACTTGTTGGCCTGAGAGGTGTCTTGTGTCCAAATTTGGTGTCAATTTGTCCAGTGGTTTTTGAGTTATGTCAATCCCACAAACAAACATTACATTTTTATTTATATAGATTGGTTTCAATCTATTGCAGTGTTTCTCAACCTGGGGGTCAGGACCCTTGGAGGGGTCGCGAAGGGGTGTCAGAGGGGTCGCCAAAGACCATCAGAAAACACAGTATTTTCTGTTGGTCATGGGGGTCTCTGTGTGGGAAGTTTGGCCCAATTCTATCATTGTTGGGATTCAGAACGCTCCTTGATTATAGGTGAACTATAAATCCCAGTAAGTACAACTCCCAAATCTCAAGGTCTATTTTCCCAAAACCCCACGAATGTTCACATTTGAACATATTGAGTATTCGTGTCAAGTTTGGTCCAGATCCATCATTGTTGGAGTCCAGAGTGCTCTCTGGATGTAGGCGAACTTCAACTCCCAAACTCAAGGTCAATGCCCACCAAACCCTTCCAGTATTTTCTGTTGGTCAGGGGAGTTCTGTGTGACAAGTTTGGTTCAATTCCATTGTTGGTGGGGTTCAGAATGTTCAGAGCTCAGGGAGCTCTGGCGTGGGCTGGGCTCTTTGTTTACAGGTTAACTATAAATCCCAGCAACTACAACTCCCAAATGGCAAAATCAATCCCCCCGCCAACCCCACCAGTATTCAAATTTGGGCATACCGGGTATTTGTGCCATATTTGCTCCAGTGAATGAAAATACATCCTGCAGCTCATTATTTACATGGCGATTCATAATGTGAGGGTTATGGTTGGGGGGGGGGGGGGGTCACCACAACATGAGGAACTGTATTAAGGGGTCGCGGCATTAGGAAGGCTGAGAAACACTGATCTATTGCTATGTGCTAATTTTAGTTATGCAATGCATTTTATATTGTGAGGCATTGTATTTTGCCATTTGCTTTGCTGCGAACCGTCCTGGACTAACACAAGACCAGAAAGATGGGATTTCTCATGCATAGTCATGTTTTTGTGTGCTTGTATGTCTGTGTAGGTGTGGTTCCCAATGAAGGCCAGTTCCCTAATGCCTTGGGTGTCCGGTCAAATTTCATGTGCACCGGCCCAATGTGTCGCTACGCAGAAGACTTAGAGCCCATGTTGAGGGTCATGGCAGGACCGAACATCTCCAAGTAAGTGATTCTCGTTGCTTTGTGATACATAAAGCAAGTCACGACCTCCTGGGAAACAGAGATATTTTTTGTGTCTCTTTTCAGGGCCTCTGGATTTTTGTTCTTGTTGCTGAATCATGAAATCCTCAAGGCTAGAACAATAATTCCATTGTTGTGGAGTCCACTGCTACCATATGATTCTGCAGAAATAGTGATAAAGAAGTAGTGTTTATCAAAGAGCTGCTCAAGGACAAAGTTCACTATATAAAATTGAATCTGATGTCCCTTGAGAGCACCAGGCTGCATGCAAGCCTTTAGGCCATTGAGGGGCATGGAAGGCATTTCCACCACACTCCCTTATAACTGTCTTATTCTAAATCCTCTTCTCTCACTGTCCACAGAGAAAGGGCTTTTAATCATGTGCTACATTGTCTGGTATTAGCTGTATTTTTTGGCAAGGGATATGCTTTTGAATTTCTAATTCTTCTGTTTCTATTACCGTATACTCATTTTTTATTATTATATTTATTATTTTATTCTATTATTACTGTTATTACATTTGCATTTTTACTCTTTATTATTATTTATTACTTTATTATTGTTATTTATTTTACCCTATTATTATTATTACATTTACATTGTTTTTTCTCTTATTATTTTTTATATTTATTATTTTATTCTATTATTACTTTTATTACATTTACATTTTTTACTCTTTATTATTATTTATTACTTTATTATTATGTTTATTATTTTACTCTATTGTTATGATTACATTTACATTATTTTATTTTATTATTGTTATTATTACAGTTATTGTTTTACTCTATTATTAGTATTATTTCATTTACACTATTTTATTCTATTATTATTACATTTATTATTTTACTCTATTATTATTATTACATTTACTATTTTACTCTATTACATTTATTATTATTTATTTTACTCTATTATTACATTTATTATTATTTATTTTGCTCTATTATTACATTTATTATTATTACATTAATTATTTTACTTTAATATTTTATTATTCCATTTAATATTTTACTCTATTATTGTTATTACATTTACATTATTTTATTTTATTATTGTTATTATTACAGTAATTGTTTTACTCTATTTTTATTATTACATTTATTATTTTACTCTATTATTGTTATTACATTTATTATTTTACTCTATTTTTATTATTATATTTATTATTTTATTCTATTATTTTATTACATTTACATTTTTTACTCTTTATTATTATGTTTATTATTTTACTCTATTATTGTTATTATTACATTTACATTATTTTATTTTATTATTGTTATTATTACAGTTATTGGGTTGTTGTAGGTTTTTCCGGGCTATATGGCCATGTTCTAGAGGCATTCTCTCCTGACGTTTTGCCTGCATCTATGGCAAGCATCCTCAGAGGTAGTGAGGTCACTCTAGAACATGGCCATATAGCCTGGAAAAACATACAACAACCCAGTGATTCCGGCCATGAAAGCCTTCGACAATACATTACAGTTATTGTTTTACTCTATTTTTATTATTACATTTATTATTTTACTCTATTATTATTATTATTATTATTATTATTATTATTACATTTACACTATTTTATTCTATTATTATTACATTTACTATTTTACTCTATTACATTTATTATTATTTATTTTGCTCTATTATTACATTTATTATTTTACTCTATTATTATTACAATAATTATTTTACTTTAATATTTTATTATTACATATATTATTTTATTCTTATTGTTATTACATTTACATTATTTTATTTTATTATTATTACAGTTATTATTTTACTCTATTATTATTGTTATTACATTTGTTATTTTTTTCTATTTTATTATTACATTTATTATTTTACTCTATTATTATTGTTATTACATTTATTATTTTACTCTATTTTATTATGGTTTAATCAGAGATGGACAGACTTAAATTACAGTTTTATGTAACTATTCAAGAACATTTAACCTCCTGATGCTTCAATTAATGTAATTTTATTGGTCACTATTTTTATTTTGACATTTGCCAATAGCTGCTGCATTTCCCCCCCTTGGCTTATACTCACGTCAATACATTTTCCCAGTTTTTTGTGGTACAATTAGATGCCTTGGCTTATATTTGGGTCAGCTTATACTCGAGTATATACAGTATTTACTAAAATAAAAACAAAGTAAGCAAACTCAACCAATCTACGCAGTTATAAACAATTAATGCAAACATATCTATCTGTTTTAACTTTGCTAAACCACCTTGAATGCCAGAGCTGGAACATTCAGAATATTATCCGTATCCCTTCCTTCTCAGGCTGAAGCTGGATGAACCCGTATCCTTAGAGAAGATAAAGTTCTATTCAATGGAGCACGATGGAGGTTCTGTTTTTGTTTGCCGAGTGGACAGAGAAATTATCCAAGCACACCGGAAGGTGAGAGGAAGCTACGCTGGGCTCATTAGAACTTCAATTACCATCATCATCATCATCATTTATTTATATTGTGTCATCGCCGTACATGGTGCGTCACTAAAAAGAAGAAGAAAACACTTCCTTGCCCCCAGGCTTACAGCGTAAAGACATGATACTAAAGGGAAACGAAATGACAGCGTGGGAGGGGATTAACGTCAGCAAATGCTGCTGCTTCTCCCTCTGAGGCCAGGGCAGTGGCAGTTGAGTTGGATAGAGAGCCTTATATTTCAGATCAAGGCATGATGGAGCTGTGCCTGGCTTTTCTTTCCCTATGAGGCAAGGGCAGTGACAGTTGGGGTGGATGGAAGGCCTTCTACTATAGGCCGAGGCATGATGGAGCTATGCCTGGCTCTTCTCTCCCTCTGAGGCAAGGGTAGTGGCAGTTGGGATAGATGGAGAGCCTTCTACATCAGGACCAGGCATGATGGAGCCATGCCCAGCTTTTCTCTCCATTTGAGGCAAGGGCAGTGGCAGTTGGGATAGATGGAGAACCTTCTATATCAGGCCCAGGCATGATGGAGCTGTGTCCGGCTTTTCTCTCCCTTTGAGGCAAGGGCAGTGGCAGTTGGGGTGGATGGAAGGTCTTCTACTACAGGCCCAGGCATGATGGAGCTGTGCCTGGCTCTTCTCTCCCTTTGAGGCAAGGGTAGTGGCAGTTGGGATAGATGGAGAGCCTTCTACATCAGGCCCAGGCATGATGGAGCTGTGCCCGGCTCTTCTCTCCCTCTGAGGCAAGGGCAGTGGCAGTTGGGATGGATGGAGAGCCTTCTACTTTAGAAATTGGCATGATGAAGCTGTGCCTGCCTCTTTTTCTCTCACTCTGAGACAAGGGCAATGGCAGTTGGGATGGATGGAAAGCCTTATATTTCAGGCTGAGGCATCATGGAGCTGTTCTCGCCTCTTCTTTTTCTCTGAGGTAGTGGCAGTTGGGACATATGGGGAGCCTTATATTTCAGGCTGAGGCATGATGGAGCTGTGCCTGGCTCTTCTCTCTCTCCAAGGCCAGGGCTGTGGCAGTTGGGATAGATAGGGGGCCTTCTACGTCAGGCCCTGGCATGATAGAGCTGTGCCTGCCTCTTCTTTCCCTCTGATACAGTGGCAGTGGCAGTTGGGATGGATTGGGGTCCTTCTACATCAGGCCCAGGCATGATGGAGCTGTGCCTGTCTCTTCTCTTGGGAGGCCATTTGGATTGCAGTTTAGACAAATGTCAGCATAGAATCTATGAATTTGATCCATGTGAACAGCCTGAAGCATAAATATATGTTCAAAGAAGCCAACATGTGTCAGGATATGTCATCTGCCTTTATATCCTGTTTCCCAAGGCACAGCACTAGTCCGAACTAATTCACACATTCACCAAATAGGCTACAAAATCTATTTATTTATTTAGTTATTTATTTATTTATTTACGACATTTATATGCCGCCCTTCACACCCCGAAGGGGACTCAGAGCGGCTTACAAGATATATATACACATACAATATATTATATTATTAGCATAGTACAATATCGGCATTAAATATTATTATATGTACGATACCATTATATTGCAATATTATTAGTAATATTACATATAATATAAATATATAATTATAATATTATATTATTAGTGTTATATTGCATTATATTTTAATATAAATAAATGGACCGGCAGCCTTCTGGGGAGGCCCTGCTCTCGATCCCACCTGCAATTCAGGCGCGGTTGGCGGGGACGAGGGACAGGGCCTTCTCGGTGGTGGCCCCTCGGCTGTGGAACGCCCTTCCCACAGACATCAGATCAGCCCCCTCATTAATGGCATTTCGGAAGAAAGTGAAAACCTGGTTATTTGAACAGGCGTTTGAATAGGCAGTGCAATGAATTATAATGAATCATAGGAATCGGAACAACGGATGACGAACTTGGATTATGATTTTAGTTATGAGACGCTAGTGAACTGGTTATTGATGTTTATTGATGGTTATTGATGTTATTTGCTTAGTGTATTAGTGTGTTAATTGTCTTTTAAATGGCTGTATGGTGTTGCATTGAATTTTTGCCGCTTCTTATTGTTAACCGCTCTGAGTCGCCTAATTGGCTGAGAAGAGTGGTATACAAATAAAGTAAATAAATAAATAAATAAATATTATAAATATTATATGTATATACAATTATATTATATTTATTCTATTCTATTCTATTCTATTCTATTATTAGCATAGCACAGGAGTCAATTCTCTCTCCACTCTGGCCCATACTTGCTCAGTTTTGCTTCGCTTTGCCTTTTGGAAATTACAGAACTTACCAGTTCATTTGACAGAAGGGCAAGAAGTAATCCAATTTCTCTTTCTCATTTCCTTCTGCCCAAGGTTGCGGAGCGCCTGGAGAGAGATCTGGGCGTTCAGGTTCAAAACGTGGCCATCCGTGACATGAAGTATTCCTTCCAGATCTGGTCTGTCATGATGTCTGCCAAAGACGGCACTGGGAAGGTGCGTAAAATGCAGATTGGGGGCATCAGCTCACTTCCAAAAGACTTTAGTTCCTGGCGATATTTGTGAGGACATAGTTGGGAAAAGAGACGTAGTATAAATTTATATTATTTATTTATTTACAGTATTTGTATACCTCTTTTCTCACCCCAAGGGGGACACAAAGTGGTTTACACATTTATTATTATTATTATTATTATTATTATTATTATTATTATTGTTATTGTTTGTCGTGTCTGGAGCGACCTGAGAAACTGTAACTGCAAGTCGCTTCTGGTGTGAGAGAATTGGCCGTCTGCAAGGACGTTGCCCAGGGGACGCCCGGATGTTTTGATTTTTTATCATCCTTGTGGGAAGCTTCTCTCATGTCCCCGCATGAGGAGCTGGAGCTGATAGAGGGAGCTCATCCACCTCTCCCCGGATTCGAACCTGCGACCTGTCAGTCTTCAGTCCTGCCGGCACAGGGGTTTAACCCACTGCGCCACCGGGGGCTCTAGGTTTACACATAAGTAATGGCAAAATTCAATGCCAGTACAAACAATTTTCTGCCAACCTAGCAGTTCAAAAACATGCAAATGTGAGTAGATCAATAGGTACCGCTCCGGCGGGAAGGTAACGGCGCTCCATGCAGTCATGCCGGCCACATGACCTTGGAGGTGTCTATGGACAACGCTGGCTCTTCGGCTTAGAAATGGAGATGAGCACCACACCCCAGAGTCTGACATGACTGGACTTAATGTCAGGGGACTACCTTTACCTTTACAAACAATTACAATTACAATTAGACATAAATCAAGTTAAAAACAGTGCATCCACAAGCAATAAAACAATCATTAGAACAATAAAACAGTCTCGTCCGTCGAATCGCCGTTCCGGTCATTGTCTTTCTGAAATGCTGCATACATTTACTTCTACTGCCTGAAGGCCTGGTCCCAAAACCATGATATTATTGTATTGTCGAAGGCTTTCATGGCTGGAATCACTCAGTTCTTGTGGGTTTTTTCGGGCTATATGGCCATGTTCTAGAGGCAGGAGAAATGCCTCTAGAACATGGCCATATAGCCCGAAAAAACCCAGTAGAACTGTATGATATTATTTTTTTCTAAAAGCCAGGAGGGAGGGAGCAGATCTTACCTCATTTGGGAGTGTGTTCCATAGGCGGGGAGCCATAGCCGAGAAGGCCCTGTCTCTCGTCCCCACCAGATGCATCTGTGCTGTTGGCGGGAGCGAGAGCAGGGCCTCCCCGGATGATCTTAGATTACGAAGTAGGACGTAGGGGTGGATGCATTCAGACAAGTAAGCTGGGCCAGAACCGTATAGAGCTTTATAGGTCAAAACCAGCACGTTGAATTGGGCTCGGAGTGGACCGGCAGCCAGTGGAGCTGGCATAACAAGGGGGTGGTATGCTCTCTGTATGCCACCCCAGTTAGTAATCTGGCTGCCACCCGTTGAACTAGCTGAAGTTTCCGAACCGTCTTCAAAGGCAGCCCCATGTAGAGCGCATTGCAGTAATCTATTCGGGATGTAACCAGAACGTCAACCACCGTGGCCAGATCAGACTTCCCAAGGTATAGGTGCCTTACGTTAAGTAGTACTGATCTGCAGAGCACCCAAAAGCAGAAATGTTCCAGGATTTGCTCCATCACTGCTTCTTAATGCGTATTGTTTACAGGATACACCGTCATTCACAGACCTTCTCGGAGACCATGGAAAGCCAGTGTGGCCCTCTTGGGAGCTGGTGAAGTGGATGATGGGATTGTCAACACACACGCTTCCAGCCATTGGTAGCTTCTTAAGAAATATTTAAATATGTGCAGTGCTTTGTTTTTCAACCGTTGCCATCTTTTACTGTTTTTTCTTTAAGTTAGTTTCCATTGCTTATTTTTATACTGTCTTTTTCCCAATATAAGGGAATTCTGGGTGGCACAGTGGGTTAAACCTTTCAGCTACAGAACCTGCTGATTGAAAGGTTGGCATTTCAAATTCGGGGAGTGGGGTGAGCTCCCGCTGTTAGCCCCAGCTTGTGCCAACCTAGCAGTCCATTTTTAAAAAATATATTTTGATCGGTTTTCTTAGAATAATCAATATATCAATACCTTCAAATACTCTTATATTTCATACTCAATTCATTACATCAACTATAAGTGTATATATATATCTTGTGTACAAGACAAAGGTATTTATTTAATATTGTATCACATCATTACAATTTTTGGTCTTTGCTTCCTAACCCTAACCCTGGCGAAGCAGGTTAATCCACTGAGCTGCTGAACGTGCTGACTGGAAGGTTGGCGGTTTGAATCCGGGGAGCAGGGTGAGCTCCCACTGTTAGGCCCAGCTTCTGCCAACCTAGTTCAAAAAAATGCAAATGTGAGTAGATCAATAGGTACTGCTTCTTCAGGAAGGTAACAGCTCTCCATCTGCCAGCTTACCCGAAGGCTTGGTCCCACATCCAGGTTTTTAACTTCCTTCTGAAAGAGAGGAGGGATGTTGATGACATAATTTCCCCGGGGAGTGCATTCCACAGGCGAGGGGCCACCACCGAGAAGGCCCTGTCCCTCGTCCCCACCAGCCTCACTTGTGATGCAGATGGGGCCGAGAGCAGGGCCTCCCCAGAAGATCTTAAACTCCGAGGTGGGACATAGAAGGAGATACGTTCAGACAGGTACGCTGGGCCGGAGCCGTAAAGGGAGGGAGTCTTCTCTCATGTCCCCGCATGAGGAGCTGGAGCTGATAGAGGGAGCTCATCCGCCTCTCCCCGGATTTGAACCTGCGACCTGTCGGTCTTCAGTCCTGCCGGCTGATGCAGTCATTCTGGCAACATGACCTTGGAGGTGTGTATGGACAATGCCGGCTCTCCAGCTTAGAAATAGAAATGAGCCCCACTTCCCAGAGCCAGACATGACTAGACTTACTGTCAGGGGAAACCTTTGCCTTTAGGTGGCTAAAAATAAATGCATAACGATGCTCATTAATTAATTCAAATGCTGTTTTTCGCCAAATCTAAGGGGCTGTTGAATGTAAGGTGTACCCCGTTCTTGAAGCTTTGATTTCTGGGGGGAAATAATTTTCATAGAATATATCTATTGGAATTCCTAATCAGATTCTCTTGAAAGTCTGCAGAAATCTATTGACAAGTATGTGCAATGGTAATTATAACCCATCACAGTGCATAAGTGTATCTTACTTACTTACTTAAGCGATCCATCGTTGTCCGAGTATGATGGCCTTCCAAGTGCAGTGCCTTGGCGTTGGATACGTAGGTGACTGTAGAGCCCTATTCTTGACCCGCTTGTTCTTCCACAGTCAGGACATTGGTTTCCAGGTGGAAGGCGGTCCCAGTCAGGGTTGGCTTGAGGCGCCTTCCTCTTGGCATTTTTGAAAAAGATTGACTAGAACATGATTATGTTCCATAAACTTAAATAGTATGGGGAACTATTCCTCATGCTCTGACTTCCCTTCATTTTGGTAGAAAAGTACTGCAAATTTCCTCAGTTGCCAGACTGGATTATTACAGAACATGATCCTCTGCTGCTCTCCAAAGTCTGGCAAGAAACTACTGAGAGGCATCCATATATTTGCTGAAACTTCAGGTTTTGCAGAACTATGGTTTTGCCAGTCCCAAGGGGGCAAAACAACTATTTCGCACTTTGGCAATCTCTTGTTTTCTGAGTATGGTGGCCTTCCAAATGCAAAGTCTTGGCGGTGAGTCCATAGGTGGCTGTGAAGCCCTATTGACCCACCTGTTCTTCCACAGTGAGGACATCGGTTTCCAGGTGGAAGGTGGTCCCGATCAGGGTTGGATTGACATGCTTTCCTCTTGGCATGTTTCTCCCTTTCACCCTCCATTTGTGCCTCTTCAAAATCCACAGTACTGCTGGTTGCAGCTGACCTCCTGTTAGAGCACTCAAGGGCCAGGGCTTCCCAGTTCTTGGTGTCTACGCCACAGTTTTTAAGGTTGGCTTTAAGCCCATATTTCAATCTCTTTTCCTGTCCACCAACATTCCGTTTTCCGTTCTTGAGTTCAGAGTAGAGTAACTGCTTTGGGAGACAGTGATCGGGCATTCGGACAATGTGGCCAGTCCAGTGGAGTTGATGGCGGAGGACCATTGCTTCAGTGCTGGTGGTCTTTGCTTCTTCCAGCATGCTGACATTTGTCTGCCTGTCATCCCAAGATGTTTGCAGGATTTTTCGGAGGCAACGCTGATGGAATCGTTCCAGGAGTTGAGTGTGATGTCTGTAGACAGTCCACATTTTGCAGTCGTAGAACAGGGTTGGGAGGACAATAGCTTTATAGACAAGCCCTTTGGTCTCCCTATGGATGCCCCAATCCTCAAACACTCTCTGCTTTCATTTGGAAAAATGCTGCACTTGCAGAGCTCAGCAGTGTTGTATTTCCGTGTCAGTGTTAACTTTTGTGGACTGGTGGCTGCCAAGGGAGCGGGGATGATCAAGATTTTCTAATGTTACACCATTAAGCTATATTTCTGGCATTGCAAAGGGACTGGCTGGTGACACCAGCCCTGACTGCCCTCCCTCTAGCCATTTAATAATACTCCATTTAATAAGCTGCCAGTTGGGCTTTTTGGAGGTCACTCAGTAGCTGTATTTGGTCATATTTTTGATATAATCATGTTTACAAACATAAGATGACACCATGTATTTTTAGGAGGATGGTGACCTTGACAGGTGGGTCTCCTTGGTAAAGAGGCAAGTTATTTATAATAATAAATAATAATAAAACTTTATTTATATACCACTCCATCTCCCCGAGGGGACTCAGAGCGGTTCCCAGGTAACATCACAAAGCATACAAAGTAAAAACAACATAACCATAAGATTAACAAAACAAAATATAGGCATAAAAATTGTCGCCATTTTTCAAGTCGTGCTGAACAGGAAGCTCTGTTTGGAAATGTCTTTTATATCAAATCCTCCCTAGTAGAACATTTTGTCAATCTTGCAACTTGTCTTTGACCAGTGTGTTATCTCTGCGTTCCTTTTCCCTCCCTTAGCACTAGGACTGACTGAGAAGATTGTGAAATACAACCCTCGGGTGAATTCCAAACTAACAACTATGGCAGAAAATTTGAAGAAGGAGGTGGTGAATCTACTGGGAGAGGATGGCGTCCTCTTATACCCTCCGCACCCTGTATTAGCGCCCCGGCACAATACTCCCCTGGCGATGCCATTTAATTTTGCCTATACAGGTAAGAAGCTATCCATGCTTTTGATTGTATGTTCCTGCATGGCAAGGGGTTAGGCTAGATGGTCCTTGTGGTGTCTTCCAACTCCGTGATTCTATGATCATTTATGCACAGAGTGGTATACAGAATTGAAGAGAGCTTGCAATCTAAATTGAGACCCCAGTAGTGCAGTGGGTTAAACTGCTGAGCTGCTGAGCTTGTTGACCGAAAGGTTGCAGGTTCGAATCCAGGGAGCGGCATGAAGAAGTTGTGAATTTCTTTGGGGGCTGTATGGCCATGTTCCAGCAGCATTCCCTCCTAACGTTTTGCCTACATCTATGGCTGACATCTTCAGAGGTTCTGTTGGCAGTGAGGCAATTGGAGTGTATGAGGGTTGAATGAAAAGTAATGCCTCCACCTTCTTAACTCCTCAACAGATGGCAGTACTGGTATGCGGCAGGTACTGGCTTGTTAAGTAGACTCTCCTCTACAGTTCCATTTTGGTGGGAAGCCTTAGCATTGAACGGTTGTGTTGTTAAAGTGCGAAGTATGGAACCCTGCACAGACGGTCAGTGCAACTTAAGCAACGTGCAGTCATTGAATTCTTGACAGCAGAAGGTGTCACCTCAACATCTCTAAACTTACTCACCCAATGACACACAGTACTCATATCAACACAATCACCGTAAACAGCTTGCATTCTTTGATGAATCTCCTTTGGGGTGACACCTTCTGCTTGACTTGACAGTAGTTCTCTACCCAAACACCAACGTTGCCTGGACTGACAGATCCATCTGCTGGGCTAGCTAATATAGAGAGAAAATCATGCCTTCTCCCTGGGAAACTGGTAAGGACTTCTTGGCTAATGGGCATCTTGACCTTCGTAAACTCTCCTGAGAAGCTCTATGTTGATGGAACATAAATCTCCTATCTAACTGCTCATTACGCTGTCCACCTGGACTTTCATTTTCATCCTCGAAGCTCAGATCTGTTCCTGCCCTTGCTTCCCGAGCAAACTGCCTTTTAGGAATGTGGCCTTCAGACACAGACCGCTCATTTTCAGAGCTTAAAATCTCTTGCTGGCTCTACTGCTGACTTGGAGACCCAGAATCCCCAGAGAGGTCGGGTGCAAGCACAATCAGAGGATGAATTTCAACAATTAGATTTCTGGTAGAGAACAATTTCAACTGGTAGAGTAAATACTACCAGTAGTTTTAGGTAAGGTTATGTAACAAAAATGAAGAAGAGAAAGAAGTCCTGAAAGGGGGACTTGGGGTTCCACACATCCTAAAATGACTATTTAGAGTAAGTACCATCACCGCTGTGTTTATATGTTACTATGGAGTCCTGTTTCTGATTTTCTGTACTATTTGTCCTCTTCTAGCCATCTTCAACATCCTGGGTTTGCCGGTGACTCAGTGCCCACTAGGTTTGAGTAAGGAAGGCCTCCCGCTGGGCATCCAAGTAGTGGCCGCCCCCAACAATGACCACTTGACTCTGGCCGTGGCCCGGTACTTGGAGAAGGCCTTCGGGGGCTGGGTCTGCCCTGGCACCTCCTCGCTTGACAACCCTGGGACCCAATGACAGCAGACCAGTACCTGAAGACCACACCACCCACAAAAACGAACAACAGGCGGCTTCGTTGCAAGCGGGAAGGACTCCAATGGCCCTCCCCATAAGTGCAATCCAAGGGAGCGTAAAATGGGGTCACACAACTTGATCCTCCATATTAGATAAGGCCAAATCTGACACAGCGGAGGGAGCATCATCGCAAAATACCATGAGAATCCTAGAGGGGATAATGCTCTGTTCTTCTTGGGACACCCATGGTTTTTTGACTTAGAGCAACGAGGGAGGGTGGTTGCTTTCATTTTTGGGTAGAACAGGGTTCCCATTCCCCTATTTCCATATTATTTATTCCTACTTTTTAGATGAGGCCAGAGACCAAAAGCATCAGAAAGATGTGCTGGAGATTTCCTCTTCCTAATGCCCTTTGGAGGAGATGGGAGGAGGAGATGGGGGATCCTCAGCATCTCAGACTGTGCACAAAACACTGAGCATCTTGCCAGGCGAGGAATAGAGTTTTACAGCCTCATGGACCATTGCTCTGTGCTGGACTTTGTGTTCTCTTCCCTGGCACTTTGCTCAGCTCTATTTGTAGGGCAGCTTTCTAATTCTTGGACGAAACATGCTGTTGAATCTGGGACAACTTCTTACAGGGGATGATTAATCCATCATTCCTCCCTCTGTGCTTCCTTCTGTCTTCTCTCCCAGGAGCAGTGCCTTGCCTTCTAGCTTTGAAACCTAAACTTTAGTGGGAGAGGGGCTGCTCCGCTCCAATGATCTGCATGATTGAGTTGTTGTAGGTTTTTTCGGGCTATATGGCCATAGTCTAGAGGCATTCTCTCCTGACATTTCGCCTGCATCTATGGCAAGCATCCTCAGAGGTAGTGAGGATGCTTGCCATAGATGCAGGCGAAATATCAGATAATGCCTCTAGACCATGGCCATATAGCCTGAAAAAACCTACAACAACCCAGTGATTCCGGCCATGAAAGCCTTCGACAATACATTTATCTGCATGATCTTTATTACATTCCAAAACTGAGATTGGGCACATTAAAAGAACCAAATACAATGAAATGTTGTTGACCTTTTAACAGAAAGGGAACATAATATATTACCTGTCACTGAGATATGTGTTGCTGTTTTATATTTCTGACTTTAGGCACTTTTGACCAATATCTCTTGCTGTTGATTGTCATAGAGCTGGGCCCAAAACGTGCTTGAATTTTAGGGATAATGGCATACGTCGTTACGTAAATAGGGGGCACTCTTTCCCCTAGGGCTGAACTAAGAGGCATCTGCAGGACTATTCCGCCCCCTGGTTGGGTATTCTAATGATTTATTAATAAAAATACTTAATATTTATTCCTTTGTGGTCAAGTTGCAATCTTTCTAAGAATACAGTATGGTAAGCCAGTTTTGTGAGTGATTCAGGAGTGTGGTTGGCCTAAGGCCAAAAAACAAAAAAATACATTACAACGCATGGGCAAACACACATCACAGGTTCAAATCTGGGGAGCGGCATGATTAGCCCCAGCTTCTGCCAACCTAGCAGTTCTAAAACATGCCAATATGAGTAGATCAATAGGTGGGAAGGTAACAGTGCTCCATGCAGTCATGCTGGCCACATGACCTTGGAGGTGTCTACGGACAACGCCAGCTCTTCGGCTTAGAAATGGAGATGAGCACCGCCCACCAGAGTCAGACACGACTGGACTTAAGGTCAGGGGAAAAACTTTCCCTTTACCCTACTGTGCTGTCATGCGCTGGGCCTATAATAATTGTCTTTTGAACAGGACATGCTCTTTGTGCCCGGTGGAAAGCCAGGTTGCCTTGGCTGAGAGGCCCTAAGGATTTTCCTATACAAAAGTCTTTAGATGCTTGAAAAGTTTAACAAAGTCATTTATTATTGCTTAGATCTTCAACAATTTAAACAAACACTTCTCAGATCTTCAACAAGTCAAACGAATGCTTCTTAACTTGCCCAAATGGACAGGTAACTGGCTTCGTGAACTGTTTCTTTTCTTTAAGAGGAAACCCCTTTTTAACTCCTCCCAGGAAATCTCCTTTCTATGCTTGCTGGTGTGGGCTCTACTCCAATTGCTTCTGGTTACCCGAGTAGACCTACCAGCCAAGGCTTGTAGATTCTCCAGCTAGAGTTCTTTTGGATCTTTTCCACGAAAGATGTGGAGCTGTTTCCCCCAGATGCTGTGAGAAACGAAGCTTGTCTACAGATGGAGCTGATCCACGTCCTGTAACTAAGGTTTCCACTATAAGACTGAACTAAAAATGGTTCCCTTTCCCTCCCAGAGCCCCGGAAAAAGGGGAGGAACCAAAACTTAACAATGATAGACAGGTCATTGACTACATTCAGGAAAAAGACCAACAAGCCACGCTAAACACCTTTGCAGAAGCATATGAGAAGCTTGGCCTCTCATTGAACACCGAGAAAACCAAAGTCATACTTAGTTTTGAAATGAAACAGATGGTATCCCTACCTTCATCACACTGTTAAATGTATCTGTGTTACTCAGTTGTACTCTGCATTCTTTCAGTTGATTTTTGCCATCACACTGTAATTGCTAGACACTGCCCACCATCCCTCTGCCCATGTTCTTTGTGGGGAAAACACTTCCTCTCTTTGAAATGTTCGCTGTTGTGTGTCTTGAATTCTGGAAGCAAGGAAGCAGGGAGGGAGGGAAAGCAGTGATGCACTCTTTCCCCCTTCTCTCGGCTGCCCCACAGAGAAGGGCATGGACCTTGGAAAACTATAACTCCAAGGACTGCATAGTATGGAGCTCTGACATTTAAAGTAAGGTCCAGCTGCATTCATTTCAGAGTGTAAATACACCCGGAGAAGGTTCATAGACCTTGGAAAACTGCAATTCCCAAGACTATCTCATGGAGACATGGCATTTAAGGTAAGGTCCAACTGCATTCATTTCACAGTGTAGATGCACCCAGAGAAGGAAAACTTGGAAAACTATAATTCCCAGAACTGCATAAGTTGTACAACTTGTGTTTTGAAACTGGATTGTTGAACAAAGCTCTTTTTCTCTGCAGAGAAAGGAGCTTGATCCAGAATTTGAGTGTCATGCCGAAAAAGAGGCAGATGTGACATCCTATTTTTACCTGGAGTCACCTGATCCATAGTGATCTCCTTTAGTTGCATTGACAGCCCGCTTACGTTCCACACCCAGGTATTGAATGCAACCACAAAAACACTGTTTAGAAGCCATTCCTTATTGTTCCACCTTCAGTTTGCTTGGTAAAGAATGCACTAATCCTCCACTTCAGAATCTGGTAAGGTGGGGTTACCTGAGGAATCCTCTTTGCTTGTTCCTTCCGTGTTGTGACTCTGGCTACAATGTGGGGCCTGAAGGTAGATGCAAGTCAAGCCGGGCCCCACAGCAAAGGCCCATGGCGGTTGCAGCATGGATTGTTCTCTTGCTGCTTATTGATCTTTCCTTTCAGCAAGGTGAGTATCTGCTTCTCAAGTTGTCAGGGAAAACTTTGCTTTGGGTTGTTGTAGGTTTTTCCGGGCTATATGGCCATGTTCTAGAGGCATTTTTCTCCTGACGTTTCACCTGCATCTATGGCAAGCATCCTCAGAGGTAGTGAGGTCTGTTGGAACTAGGAAAATGGGTTTATATATCTGTGGAATGACCAGGGTGGGGTAAAGACCTTTGTCTGCTGAAGCTAAGTGTGAATGTTTCAGCTGACCACCTTGATTAGCATTTAATGGCTTGGAAGTGCCTGGGGGGAATCTTTTGTTGAGAGTGATTTGATGTGCCTGGTTGTTTAATCTCTGTTGTTTTGCTGTTGTAATTTTAGAGTTTTTTAATACTGGTAGCCAGATTTTGTTCATTTTCATGGTTTCTTCCTTTCTGTTGAAATTGTCCACATGCTTGTGGATTTCAATGGCTTCTCTGTGTAGTCATGACCAGGGTGGGACTACATTTCTCCCACCCTGGTCATTCCACAGATATATAAACCCATTTTCCTAGTTCCAACAGACCTCACTACCTCTGAGGATGCTTGCCATAGATGCAGGTGAAACATCAGGAGAAAAATTCCTCTAGAACATGGCCATATAGCCTGGAAAAACCTACAACAACCCAGTGATTCCGGCCATGAAAGCCTTTGACAACTTTGCTTTGGTCTTTGGGCAGCTTTATCGCTTACCTTCCCAATCCCTAGCACCTAGGGAAAACACTTGTTTTGTAATTTGAGGAGGTAAGGGGGGTGTTGAGATAAGCCTTTTTGGTAGGATCTTTTTGATCTTCCAAAGGATGGAGAATGCCAGGATCACAGGTATCCCTTATTTATTTATTTATTTATCTATCATGTCATGACCTTGAAGGAGCTAGGGGTGGTGACGGCCGACAGGGAGCTCTGGCGTGGGCTGGTCCATGAGGTCATGAAGAGTCGGAGACGACTAAACGAATGAACAACAACAACATCATGTCAGTATCAACCACACAATTGTATTACATTTTTAACAAATTTTTAACAAACAGAAAAAACAGAGTTTGCAAGCTTGGTAGTTGATTAAATATCCTTTGACCAGTATCTGGCCACTTGGAGTGCTTCTGGTGTTGCCGCAAGAAGGTCCTCCATTGTGCATGTGGCAGGGTTCAGGCTGCATTGCAGCAGGTGGTCAGTGGTTGTCTCTTCTGCACACTCGCATGTCGTGGATTCCACTTTGTGGCCCCATTTCTTGAGGTTGGCTCTGCATCTCGTGGTGCCAGAGCGCAGTCTGTTCAGCGCCTTCCAAGTCGGCCAGTCTTCTGTGTGCCCAGGGGGGAGTCTCTCATCTGGTATCAGCCATTGGTTGAGGTTCTGGGTTTGAGCCTGCCACTTTTGGACTCTCGCTTGCTGAGGTGTTCCAGCGAGTGTCTCTGTAGATCTTAGAAAACTATTTCTTGATTTAAGTCGTTGATGTGCTGGCTGATACCCAAACAATCCCTTATTATAAACAATACCCTTTGTTGGAGAGTTGGCCTTTCCTTTTAATATGCCATGAATGACTTTTCAATAACTTTCAAGCATAGTTTCTTTTTATTGCAATTTCCAGTGTGAGAGGTTATATCAGATTACAGAAAAACATTTAGACATACAGGCATACAGATTCTATGCATCTACATCAGATTCACAATTACATAGCTAACAAACAAAGGAGAATTACATTTTCACTCAACATTCAAACACATGTACACACATTCTTACGTTGTGTTGACTTCCTTCTTAACATTGTAAACCATTCTGTTATCACTGTCCCAGTTCTTATCAGAGTTTACTTTTCAGCTCTTATTAGCAACTTTTAATTACAGTCCAGCAAGCAGGTAGTTAGTCATTGCAGGCCTGGGTCTTTTACTGGTGTTTCCAAAATTATTAACTCTATACATCCTTCCATCCTTCCATTCGTTCCCACACATCTTATTAAATGCACATTTATAAAATCTGCACATTAAATTTTTGTGACAAATAGAACAAGAGGTAAAAGCAATCCCATATTTTGAGAATAAAAACACAAAAGTGTGCATACACGGACATGGGGATTATTTTAATTTGATAGAGGAACGGCTAAGTTAACTGAAACCGATACTTCCATGTGATACTTGAATACAAACCTGTTAACAGCTACTTCCTCATTGTGAACCTCGCATGTCATGAATCCTGACGCTTGTTGCTATTTCAGAAACACAGCAGCATTTGTTCTAATAATTATATTTATTTATCTACCACATTTATATACCGCCCCTCTCAGCCCAGAGGTGACTTGGAGTGGTTCACAATTGGCAACAATTTGATGCCTCAACAATTATAACAAGTAAAACAATCATAAAATACTGTCAAAAACATTTTTTTTGTCGTGTCAGGAGCGACTTGAGAAACTGCAAGTCGCTTCTGGTGTGAGAGAATTGGCCGTCTGCAAGGATGTTGCCCAGGGGACGCCTGGGTGATTTGATTTTTTTTATCATCCTTGTGGGAGGCTTCTCTCATGTCCCCACATGAGGAGCTGGAGCTGATAGAGGGAGCTCATCCACCTCTCCCCAGATTTGAACCTGCGACCTGTCAGTCTTCAGTCCTGCTGGCACAGGGGTTTAACCCACTGCGCCACTGGGGACTCCTGTCAAAAACATTAGCATATAATATCTATATAAATAAAAATATAATGTTAGTTTGTGGGATTAACATAACTCAAAAACCACTGGGTGAATTGACACCAAATTTGGACACAAGACACCTCTCAGGCCAACGAGTGGCCATCGCTCATAAAAACACTGAAAATCACAACGGAAGGGACTAAAAAAGCAAAAAAATAATAAAAAACATTACAACGCATGCGCAAAACCATATAT